TATTGTCATGAATGCTGCTGTCCAAAATGTGAATTTTTTCAAGAGGGTGAAAATTTATGGATAAATTTTAAATGCTTGGCAAAGACGATCTCGCGAGCGACATTTAGGTCATTGATGTTCAAAAGAAAGCCAACATTGTTTTGAGTTTTATCAGCAGAAATTTACATCCAAAATCGTAAGTAAAGGACAAGTGAAGTGTATGCATGAATGTAATATATCAAAGTTAATTATGCGAGTGTGTGATGCGATTTATCTCAATATGGCGTATGGTAAGCAGATCAATGCTTCTAAAATTGTTGTTGACGAAGGACTTTGAGCTATGATTTCTTTAGTGCTTGGGGAATCGTGGCCGTTATACGGCAGCGAAATCCTACATTCCTGCAAATATATTTCAATGGACAAAAAATCTGTAGCCATAAGGCGCCATACTATTATTTACTTTATCATAAACAAATGTTTGGGGTTTTTCATTTTATGATCATTGATCATTCAATCATTGGACAGTTATACTACATATTGTTTAAGATTTGAGAAAACTAACATTGATTACATGAGAAGCTGTTTACTATAACCTGTGATTTTGAGTCTTCTGATCCATGAAGCTTTTTATTTTGACAATTTGACTGGAATGGTATTAAACCTGAGTATTTCACATACATGGAATGTTGTCCCATGTCACATATTGTCCCCTTTTCTAACTGAACACCTCATGTAGAGATGTAAAGGTGTGTTAATCTACGGCTCATACCAGATTGTTTGCCATAAATTCCAAAGGGCTATTGATGTATGAAAAGCATTTTGTATAAAGTAAAAATGTCTTTCTATGTATGCAGATAAACCTTGAAATTTGACAAAACAGCAAAGTATTTTTCATGATCACTAGGTAATTTTTCTGATGATCATTATAATTTCTAAACTAAATTATTTCTGATTTACATTTAAACAAGCTTTGATCATATGAAAAGATATTTATCATAACCAGTAAGCATGATACATGAACCAATTTTAACATTCATGTAATTATGTAATTAAAGACATGTTGGTTACATTCTGTTTGTATTTGCAAATACAATGCTACTAGTGATTGCTATATAGCACACCTTGCATATACTTACAGGAGATAATAGTCTAGTGAAATGCCTAATAAACATTTATGGCATTAAGCTGTCCTTAACTGCAAATTTTCACTCTAATAATTTTTGCTTAACCTTTGGCAGAAAAAAATTTTGAGTTTTTTCTCAAAAGGTGAATTTGCTGGCACTGATGTGGAGATGGGTAAAGGGTTACAATAAACTTGCATGGTTTGAAGTCTGAGCTTTTCTATATCTATGAACTGTCACTTGTAGTACCAAATTTCTAACTTAACTAAACTCATTACATAGAGGTTTGAATGGGGGTCTCTAGGGGGGTCTATGCCTGACAACTTGGTAGAAATTTTTAAAGACTATATCTGTTTTTGAATAGCATTATTGTAAAATAAATTTTACGTTCCTAGACATGCTAATGAGCCATATATTTGGCATGATAATGAGCCTAAATATTTGGCAAAACATTCAAGTATTGTTCACTTCATTTTTTTTTTTTGAAAAAAAACGTAAGCAAAATGTGTTGTTTTTACGCAAAAACGATGCCCACAAATACATTTTGTATTGCTCTAAAACGCTGAAAATGGCATTTTCAAGGCTCTGAAATTCAAAATTTCTCAGGGGAGAATGCTTCAGAACCCCCAGGTGCGGAGCGCCTTCGACGTTTTATGACTGATGTTTGAAAAATCCTAGATCCGCCCCTGATATATATATATATAGGACAAACATCTAAGAAAATTGAAACAAGACTCACAGAACACAAAAACGCCATAAAACGACGAGATCCGAACTCATTACCGGCAGAACATACCCACGGAATCAACCACACATTCGACTGGACAGAAACTAAAGTACTCGGACGCGCACAGACTAAACACGCACGCGAATTTAAAGAAGCTTGGTACAGTAAAGACAACGACACAATAAACAGACATATCGACATACGCATCATATACTCACAACTAAAGAAACAGGACATAAAAACTACAAACAACACCAAAACTATAACACTACACTCTAATATTATTAACACCAATCATATTAACAATACACCAAACCCATGGCAACGCATTTCACCCCATCCAATCACATTAATCCACCCACTTATCCAATTAGACGCTCTAAACGTCTCCAAGCTAAAACGCACGTGTAAATAAATATCCTCATTCTGATGAAGGCTCGAAGCAACGAGTTGAAAGCTCAATAAAAATCAATTAAAAATCCGGAAAAACTTTTATCTTTTATGTATTCAATGCCTGGATTACAAATTTTCAAACTTTTATATATATATTTATATAGGAAGTTTTGTTTATTTGAATCTCCGTAATTACAGTGCTCGATGCTTAGAGCAGAGCATAAATATTGATAGAAGAAGAAAATACACAAAAACTATAATTTCATCCCTTCAAGCCTGTTTCGTGATTTCTCACTCTTCAGATGATAATATTAAGTAAATACAAAAGAACGTGCTTAACTATATATACAAGAGGAAGTTAGGATAAAAATTAAGGTAGAATTACATAAAAAGCTAGGTCTACGATTGCAAATTAGATAAAAGTGCCTTGTGTGTATGGCGACAAGAGGAGACAAGCTCGTTACGTTTGGTTACGAGGATAATTACGAGGATAGATAATAAATTTTTAAAATCATTTCTGAAAAAAAGATTTGCATATGAAGTGCATTGTCACATAAGTTATGTAATTCTGCTTCCCGTCATAGACCTTATCCCTTCCGTCGGGGAATTCTTGTCGCCAAACTGGTAGTATGGTAAAAATTCTATTTTAATAATTTTCTTCATTTTTACGTAACAGGAAACAAATATGGAAGAAGTCGATATGAGCGAAACATATTGTGAATACGGTAAGTATAGCAGATATGTTTACTTTATAGTTTTATATAAGGAAATGTTGTTGGAGATTGATTGATTGATTGATTGATTAAAGTCTTACTGTTACTGTTAGTCTTAGTCTTACTGTTTTTTTCTGTTTCATTCGAACATCTGTTGTAATAAATTAAAATATGATAACATATTCCCTCATAAACTGTCCAAATCAAGTGTAATTTGAATGTACGTTTATCTTTATTCTCAAGTCAACATTTCTGAATTATTTGTATATTTTTTCAGTGTTTTGGCTAACGAAGAAATTTTATCCTGCAATATAAATTGTTTTGTGTTCAATCATTGCAATAGGAACAATGTACTAAACAAACAAAGAAATAAAAATATTCTAAAACTTACATAGCAGTACGGCAGTACTAAAACTTGCCAGACTGACCAGGCCACAGCTTTTTCTTGCTCATGCTTAACGACTTAAAAGATCGAAAATAATCAAGTTTTGTGAAAAATACAAAACTAGAGTGCTCTACAAGCATTTAATCATTCTATGTTAATGCTGACTTTTAATCCAGCAGGATTCATTGTTTTATGCATTATGTGACTAAAATATTTTATTTAGGGCCCATTCACACTAACACTTTAAATCGATTCGAAATCAATTCGCGTCCGTATAAGGGCTAAAGTGAACATTTGTAATTGATGCGGAAACGAAGTCGGTCCGAAGTAACTTCGGCCACTTGAGAAGGTGGTTTCCAATCGGATTAGTTTAGTCTGCATGATAATGTAAACATGCAACACGAAAAGAATCGGATCAATCTTGATCAATTACGTGTTTTTAGCTTTGTGACCAAACTTTTCATGCGATCACACATATCACGTGATTCTTCTGAAGCGTTTGCTTGCAGCAATATTTTACAATTCAAAAAGTAACGCGATGCGACGCTTTGCATTCTTTTGTATTGCAGGATTTTTTTGTATTACACTAGATCTTTTCGCTGATTTTTTACGTTCTTTTGGTATTCCCGTAAAAGTATGCCCATTGCAGTAATCTCCGCCATTTGTACTCGTTAAATATTGTTATTATCAAAGATTCAAAGATGGTCTAGGAAAGGCGCCATGATTTAATGTCAATCATGTGAAGCAAATGCAAATAGTAATTTTACACAAAATATAGATGCTAAAGTATGTACCCACAATACCCTATAAGTTGACTAAAATACCTGCTAATCCATATCTGTCCTATTAAGTTTCTTATGATACTATGTTATCAAGCGAAAAATAATGCGGATAAAACTTTAACTGTGAACACTTGTGTTTTTTCATTTTAAAAAGAATCGAATTCGAATCATCAACTAATTCGATTAGCAAACTAATTAAGTGCGAATTGCCATTAGTCCTAGGATATGGGTTACTAAAAATATATTTTTTGTATATATCATTGAACTAAAGTACATGGAACGCAACATCAAGCAAATAATTAAAGACATAACTTACGCCAGAAACGCGAGATTTTACCCAAGACACGCGTGTTTAGTGTTTCGAGATTCTCTTGCGGAGTATTAAATGATTGACTACACACGCGTGTTTGGGGTAAAATCACGGCTTAAAAAAATTATAATGGTTTTGTATTACAGGTAGTGCTCCCTGTATTTTAGTTCAATGGGATATATTAATGTTGTTACCAGGTTTTTGTGATATTTTTACATGTAACCAACATATAAATTTTTGCGACAAATATTTGATAAGGGAAATTGCGGTAATCATACGTAGTTCACAACAATTTTGATTAAAGTGGCAAATTACCAAAGATCATTCAATAAGAATAACAACTTAACTAAGAATTAGTGTAATGTCCTATTTAAATGCTTTTCAAATAAAAGGACTTCATGCAGCAAAGCCATGGAATGTGTCACACGAACGTATGATTAATAGAGACATTGTTATGTATAGTAATATAAAAAATGTCGTGTGATGTTCTGATTTAACAAGTTACTCTTTGTTACCTAATCTTAAAAAATAATCAGTGACTATTTTGTTTAATGCGTATAACCTATTACTTTCAATCATAATTCAGGAGAAAGCATTAAAGTGAGAGGAGATGAGGAGGAGGTAATTTTTCTATTACTGATTTATCAAAGCAGCCTGCTTTCTATAGTAGTGAAATTTAAGACGATTTAAATTTTTCAATCGCTCAATTTAACTTTTGCGATAATGTAGGTATTGTTATGATTTAATTTATATACGTATATATATCACAAGTCTTTTCTATGTTGGTATACGAATCAGTCATTTTCTTCCAAAAAATGATATAAAAGTTTCATGTATAATATCGTCATAAACTTTGTATGTTGTTGCAAAAAGAAAACATTCCACTATATGATAAAAGCAAAAAATGTAGAACTTTTACACACAAATCTGTTTATAAAATAATAAGTGGAAAATATTTGCAAAAAGTGTAATGAAATTATTATTGTACGCGTAGTTTACTATATCTTTACATGATCAACAAAAAATCGTTCGTGCAATAAATAATGTTTTAATTTTTTGTTTGTTCATAACTTATCTTGCAAGACCGAATGCAGCGTTTTTGTATCTACTAATTTTCTTATTATTGAAGTTAAACGCGCATAGTTTTAAGTATTATTGCAGAAATTGATGCATTAATTATTTTTATATTTTTTACGTAACAGGCCACAAATAATATGCGCCATGTGATGGACATGGACATGGCGAATTGTGATGGTAAAAAATCTATTTTAATCATTTTCTCCATTTTTCCTGCAGGCTACAAATAATAAAACGGTCGATATGATCGAAACATTTTGGGAATACGGTAAGTATTGCAAACGTGTTCACTTTATAGTTGTAATAAGCAAGCTGTATTGTAGAGTATTTTATTTATATTTAACATTAAAGTGATGTCATGTTTTCAACGATTAGCTCGTTTCTAGTAATGTGCTATAGTTTTACCGTTTTTTTCCATATAAGTTAATCACTCGTTGTAATGAATTCGAATACATTGATATATTCCGTCTTAAAATCTCTTATCAATTGTAATTTTTTGAATATACATTTATGTTAACTCTCATGACTACCTCTCCGAGTTATTTGTACTCATTTAATGTTGTAGCCACTGATCTGATAATAGATTTTATATTACTTCCATATGTACCAAAAGTAAAGACTAATTATGTATGCGGAATTCATTTCTGTTTACCCACTTGAGATACAATTACTATAGAAATATATGGCTGATAACGTTTACAAACAAATATTTTAAAATATCCAAGACATTTCGCGACCTTGTTCTTATGTCAAATATACGTCATAGATGAAACAAGTTATGTAAATCAATTTGACATCAAAATATTCCCGATATGTGAAAAATACCGGCCTTCGTGTTCATTTGAAAATTGCTCGTCCAGGAAGACATGAATTTGACCCATCGTTGCCAAGATATGACAATTCACAGCTAGGTTGCTAAGTTCAGAGGCAGTAATGATCTAGAATAATATTCAATGCTTAAAATAATATTAATAATATTCATACACAGACATAAAATTGTCTGTGTATGAGTGCTCAATGCGGATGTTTTTTAATAATTAGTAATTCAATAACTGAAGAATAATCATTTTCATGTTATTCTTCGGTTGTAATGTAACGTGTATTTTAGATTTGGAAGAAATGCGAGACAAGTTAGTTAAAATTGAAATAAGCCTTCAATCGACGTCACAAGAAAAGGAAATTCCTAATCTTGAAGCACATGCTGGTCCGTCTCCCCCATCTCCGTTAGCTGGATTACTTACTCCTGGAGTACCACCACCTCCTAGCGGACCATCACTACCACCACCTTTATCAGGAGTGCCACCATCACCTCCACCTTTCGGGGGTGCAATACCAGGTGACATTTTTATTTGCGTAAAATAATTTTGATTATTGTGATGTTCTGAACTGAACATCTATCATTTGCTCTCTCTTGTTTTTCAAGGTCCACTACCTCCCCTCGGACCCCCAGGTCTCCCTGGCCTACCAGGCGCATTACAGGGAAAAGGAAAGAGAAATGTACCAAAGCCTTCGCAACCTTTGAAATCATTTAATTGGTCAAAACTGCCTGATGTAAGTGAAGTGTTATGTTAGGCATTGACATTGTCAGCGATGTCATTCAGTGACAATGTATATTGCCATGTATGTCTCTTTATGTACAAATTTTCATTTCTAGACCAAAATAAAAGGAACAGTTTGGACGGTAATTGACGACTCGAAGGTACGGATGTTTTTCAAAGCAATACTTTCTTGAAGGTTTTTCATTCAATTTATTTAATTTTTGCTTGATCAGATTCATGAAATCATGGATTTTAACGACTTTGATCGCATGTTCTCGGCATATCAAAAATCCAAGAATGACCAGGTACATTTTGTGTTCGTTTTACACTTTCTTCAACGGTCTATATCCTTTGTTAAGAGCAATTTTGATTGTTCATTTCAGAAAGATGGTGGTGCAGAAGCTTGTGTGGCTGCTGAACAAAGGCAAGAATTGTCATTCATAGATAGTAGGAAAGCCCAGGTTCGGTGATGCTATCAAATATGTTGAGTTGAGAAGTTGTTTTTGCATTCAAATTTGCATCGAGATCTTGTTTTTGTTTAGAACTGTCAAATTTTTTTATCAAAACTGAGAACTTCTAACGAACAGTTAGCGCGAGCTGTTCTCACCATGGATAAAGATGGCGAATTATCTGTAGAAATGCTTGAACAGGTAAAATTTCACTTCGACTTCTTACATAGGAATTAAACATTTTTACTAACGAATCTATCTTCATCCTCTTTGTTTAGCTCTTAAAGCTCGTACCCACTACCCAAGAAAAAAATCTGCTCGATGATCATAGTAAGGAGAAAGAACAGTTTGCCAAAGCAGACAGATTTTTATACGAAATGTCCAAGTATGTCGTATATGTGAAGTGACTGCTTTAATTTCGTGTACCAAACGTACAAATCTTTTTTTGCTTTTAGAATCAACCGTTACGAACAACGATTGGCAACTTTGTTTTACGTGAAACGTTTCCCAGAACGAATGGGCGATATAAACACAAAAGTTAAAGGTAAAAGATCATAGATTTTCTGGGAGGAATTCCAATCTCCATACTTACATAAATATTAGCAAACGCAATTAGGATTTGTTTTAGATACAGCAAACTTTCAAAGAAATTATCTCCAATTATGAAGTAAGAGTAAAATAGTTTAAAAAAATAAATCTGACATGACACGGTGACATCCTCAAAGCACCTTTTGAAATCTTATGCGAACGATAACAAGCCGTGCATTTCTTTAAAAGATGTCATTTTATTGTTTGAAGTAAATGTCTGTTGTACGTGACTACAATAAATCTTTATTTCAACAGCTGTGATAGAAGCATCTAAGCAAGTATTCCGCAGCAGAAAATTCCGTGATTTACTGGAAGTTGTATTGGCCTTTGGGAATTATATGAATCGTGGAGAAAGAGGAAACGCTACAGGGTTTAAAATTGCCAGTATCAATAAGATCATGGACACAAAATCGAGTTCGAACAGCAAAATTAATCTTTTAGATTACTTGGTCATGCTTTTGGATCAAAAGGTTTGTGTGGAAGAATTTATACTTTAGATTCACTTTAGATTCACATTAAAAAATTAGTTTTGATTGTCTCGTCTTGGGTTCTTGCAGTTTCCGGCCGTACTGCAGCTTGAGGAAGAAATGGGAGATGTTAGGACAGCTGCTAATGTCAGGTGAGGATAGAATGGGATCATAAATTATGGATTACCATCATTGATAGGAAAGATTGCTTGCTCCAACGACATTTTTTTCCAGTCTTGTAGAGTTACAAAATGACATAAAGAAATTCAAAACAGAACTCAAAACAGTTGAAAAGGTTTGTAATTTGTCCTTAAAAAAATGTAAATGTCTTTAATTTACAACTGCTCCAATTTTTCTTACAGGAGTATGATTATCATGGTAAAAATAAGGATAAATTATCTGGTGATAATTTCGTTAAAGAAACTGGAACTTTTCTCACAGCTGCACGAGCGTCGTTCAATGAACTTGATGATTCCTTGAAGGAGATGAAAACAAGAGTGAGAATTTTCATTTAGTTTAACCTTCGGCCATGAAAAAGGACACATTAAATATATTTCTACTTTTAGTACGAGAAATCTGTTTCGGCGTTTGGTGAACAACCGAAGACCATTACCTCGAAAAATTTCTTTGGCATTTTTTACACGTTTTTAGTATCTTTTGCCGTAAGTCTCTTTTTGTTGTTTTAGTTCTGTTTAACGCATGCGCAGTAGATATAAAATAACGTTAAGTTGACAGAACTGAATCTTACTTTCAGGAGGCAAAGAATGAGAATGAAAAACGAAAGAAAAAGAAACTAGAGGAGGAAAAAAAAGAGAAAGATGAAGCTTAGGTTAGAAACAGTGGAAGTGTCCTTTTATACATTGAAGAGGGAGCTATCATAACGATTTCAGGGTAGACATGGGCGTCATTCCTGCAATAATAGGGGGGGGGCATATGCATATATTCTGTAGTGCCAGGCTGATTTCTTTTGAAAATGAAATTGTTTTGAAAAGAACTTAGACAAGCATAGCAGAATATATGAATATGGTCCACCCTTCAATTAAGACAGGATTGACGCCCATGAGGGTGGATGATTTTGTCATGTGTTTTCAAGCTATAGTCTCTGGCCATAGGTCTGACATACTGTATTTTGTGGCTTACAACCGACGATTTGGTTTGATTCAATAATTAGAAATGTTAAAGAACAACTTTGAAAACATCGCATTTTCAGTACATGTTGGTACACGTTGTGATTGTACATGCAGACTTGCGCAGTCCTAAAAAAGGACTTGTAATGTTGGTATTAACTTCCGTTTCAATGTCTTAGTGTTAAACATCGCTGGTCATTTTGACTCTGAAAGACTGCACTAACTACACTAACTCTCGCTTGTCTCACTTGTCTCACTTCCGTTCCACTCATGTTTTCTATATTGTTCCTTATCGTCCCCGACGTACTCGAATGTACAATTGAAACCCAGGTTGGCTCAGCAAACTGAGTCATGAATAAATATCTATTTTTGTAATTTAGGACCTTGAGCAAGTTGCCTTAACTTTGTTAAAACTGAAATGAAATTCATAAAGGTCTGATGCTTATAAATTCAAATATTTAGAGTAATCTCTGCTTTGTTTATCGTAAAATCATTCCCAAAATTCCCAACGTGAAAAAATCATATTAGTGAGTTGCTTCTTTTTTAAGGAACAAATACTATTTATGCCACTTTAGCAGTCTAAGCTTGTTATTAAAATTACATAAAAAAGGCAGTTACAGTATTTTTCACAATGTACTTGCTTTTTAAAGCATTTTATAGTGTATATGTTTGTAAATATTGAGCATTTTCATTTAGATATGTTTACGCAGAACTTTGTTCTTAGGTCTGAGAGAGTAAATATCGAACAACAACCTCGTTTTTGCTCTAAAAATTGCAAAAATACTGTTTTTCTCCAGATTGTGACTTTGATACCTAAATTAGCGTATTTATGGAAAGCTGTGTATGGTTTGCTTTCATTCAAATACAAAAAGTTACTGGTACCAGTTACATATGAAAGTTATTTGACCTAGAAAATGTGAAAAATCACTGTGTGATTTTTAACATGTGAAAAAACATCTTAAAATCTGTCTTTGTGTAAATAGACAAAGTAAATGTAAGAATTCATTGTGTGTAAAAGATATCGAGCTCAAATCAGCTTGATAAAGGCGCTATTTGATCTATAGATTAATTGTACATTTCATCATTTTATTTAGGCAAAAAAGTTATTCCAATATCTTAGGAAGAAAAGTATGTTCAGAATCTTTTTTATCTCTAATTGTCGGAAATTATGTAAATATATTATGATTGTTATTTGAGACTAGGAACTTATCGTTAAAGCGGAATAAGGAACTTATGATTATTGAGTATTTTAAAAGGGTCAAATTAAGACGGCATTGTCTTTTGTTGATGCCTGTGAACAAGTAAGGAGCATGAATTGGAATTGATGTATAACTTTGACTAGAAATTTAAATTGATGACATTTGAGAGTTGTTTTTGACTGCGCGCTAGCTTTAGATAGTATACAGTCCCATAGAGAACTGGCGGACGCATAACTGCTTTGTGCTAACGTGCAAAAGAGAAATTAGCTACACCAAGAACTAAGGTACCTATACGTACATCGCTGCTTTTTATCACAGAAAACATATTTCGCAATTGTCAGTACAAATTTTAAAAAACTCAGTCTGCAGTTTATTCAGTTGAAAAAATAGTAAATTGGATATGTGTCCAACTTTACGGAATCAAAACTTTGAAATAAACTGTAGAATCCCAAGATAAAGAACAATGAAAAATACATCAATTTATGAAAAAGATATCGCGTGTACTTTTAAGTTTTCATGTCTTTTATGAAAAGAATTTTTGTAAAGGAAAAAGCCACACATTGACAACAAAAAATCCCGTTTTCGGTCCATGCCTCGCGAGACCCCGAGATAATTGAGAACTAGACGTTAATTAAGGGAAATAGATAATCGTTGTTGTCCATAAAGCCCATGGATGGTTTGCTCGTGATACATGAGAAACAGTAAGTATAAAACGTTTAAGGTCGTCTTAACTTATAAGTGCCAAAAAACGGCACAGTGTCAAAAAAAGTTAATTGAAACGTTGCTTGATTTATTTAATAAGAAGAACTTTTGTAAACAAAGAGATAGAACTCAAAAGCAAAAAACCCCCGTTTTCGGTCCATGCTTCCCGATACCTTCTTAAGCGTAAGGCACTAGAACGCTGCATGTTAACGTTTCGGTAGGAGATTTCGGCCCCTTCCACGCTATCCTACTTGGGGATGTCAATAGCAAGCTTCCGCCCATCAGACCCCGAGATCACCTGCGATAGGCTTTGCTCGGGGTACGCAGGGAGAGTGCGGTCGCGACCCGAAACGTCTGGACCCCTAAGCCACTGCATACATATCGCACCCAGCTTCCACTGCTAGTTGACATATATTAAACATATATTTAGCTTTATATTTATATACATAAATTCAAAGCCTTACGAGAGTTGTGGTATTATTGAAGTCACTACTGCGCATGCCCAGACGATTTCTTCAATAATTTGCGACTAAGTGAGCTGAATGCCACAACTTTAGTGCAAGTACATATGGTTAGTCGTTGCCATGACTATAAACAGTTAGTGGAGTGGACTGCGCATGCGCTAAAGAACTGCGGATGATTTCTTTATTAATTTGTTACTAAGCATGCTATTTAGGTCAAAATCGGTGCTAGTTGATGGAGTGTGGATGCAGTTGGTCGTTGCCATGACCATCAACTTGGGCAGTAGGTCAAGTTGAGTGCGCATGCGCAAATGATTCATCTGAAAATATGTGACTGAGCGAGCTAATCCTCGATAGTTGGTACTGGTACATACAGTTAGTCGTTGCTATGAACATGAACATGAAGAGTTGGTAGAGTTGACTTGGCATACGCGCAGAAGGGTCGCTAGTGTCGGGGCCTTTTTTTTCTCCTCTCGTATGTTGTGCTGCGCATATCGGCAGCAATCTTTCCAGCAAGATATTTTGGGCTCTTCACTTGTTCCCAACTACTGAAATGGCACGACGTCATTTGATATATTGAAATATTTTTGATTTTATTGTGAAGAAATGACGTCGTGTAATTGCAGTGGTTGGAAACAAGTGAAAAACCCTAATTATCTTTCTGGAATGATGGGGGACCTGAGAACGCGGTGTACACTTCTAAAGAGTGGCCCTTCTGTTTAATTTTTATCATGTGGTAAGACTCAACATACTATATGCAAATTTAAGTACATATTCTTGGATTCCAACCAACCTCCAGGGAATTATCAAATAATGTGGCTCGCAAACCTAGGCTGCTGGCAACAATAGCATAAAATATTCATTTGCATTGATCCAAACATGGCAGTCTTGACGCAAAATAAGCACCAGGAATATTTCATAAACAAATTCTAAATAGGCAGATTGCGCCAATAACACTGTCGTGGTCTTGTCGAATTTTTCACAGATGGTTTAAAAAATTGTCCTTGGTTAAAGCGGTTTACAAGTTCTCAACCGATTTAGCCAATAATTTACTTAAACTAAGACCTCGTTTACATTGCACTGGATTGCTACCAAGGAAGGTTTAATTTTCTATGTGTTAAAAGTCGGTGATACGGTCCAATATCCCAGACACAATTAAATAAATTGAATCTATCAACTTAATAAGAATTTAATCCAAACAGTTACCCTTTAAAGCAAATGAAGATGTTGTGATGAGCAAATCCGGTATAGCGCAAACGCAGCTTAAATGAAAGAAGGCAACTGCGTGTCGGAAAAATATAGTGACGACTGTTTGCATTGAAAGACAGTTTAATAAATTAACACTCATATATAAACATTTTATGATTAAACTGTTACAATTTGACTTACAGCTAAAATTATTCAACGTGGAATTATATCCCTCGTAATATTTATGATTTTTTTAACAGTTCATCATCGATTCACACATTATACAGGCAGGCATAAAAAACAATCGCGTCATCCTTAGCCAAAGTCTCCAGTCCTTACAAATAATGAAAACTAATGAAACAGATTGAGAAAAGGACAAAATGATAAGGATCTGGAACTTACATTAATGTGCTATTTCTGCACTGGTTTTCAGATGACATAATTTGTTGTGATTTGAGTAAGTTCCTCTGTGGCAGTTAGTCAGTAAAATGCTGTTTTAGTTGGCTGGAAGTGTTTCAAATCCGATTTTTACAAGAATTCGCCAATCGTATCATCCATAAAAACCAATTTATTGATAATCATGATTTATGTATTCATACTGCAGAACAATGAAACACAACAAACTACGACAAAGTATGTCATGTGAAAACAAGTCCTATCGCATTTTTCTTTGTTGTGCATAAACATTGGATTCGTCTACAACAATTTGTGGGGTTCTTCAGTTTATCCTAAAGAGTAATGAAAAGTTTAGATCTTTCCGCTGATTCCGTAGATGAATAATCTGTTTTAGTATCCTCAAGTCCATTAGCATCTCTCATAACAAACTCACGTGGCGTAAACATATTTTCGTGTAAGTTTGTGTCCTTTGAAAATTAACGGGAAATTTCATCTTCATTTTGTTGCCTAGATAACAAGGCAAATTCGTCATGTAAGTCTGACTCAAGGCGCCCAACAGAACCCATCCTATCCATCAGGGGCGGATCCAGGCTGGTGCAACTGATGCGAGTGCATCAGTCATAAAATTGAATAATTAATCTTTCACAACATATTATAACTTACAATCAATACGAGCAAAATGCAAGAAATATAACAGATTGGAACGTTTATAGTTTCTAAATGCTTTAAATACCTTAACACTGACAATATATTGACAACAAATGCAGATTGATGATTGAGAATTATTGTTAAAAACCTTCGTCGATTGTTTACATGTGAGTATCATTTTGATTACAGCCGCATATATAGCGCATATATATGAGTGTAACTCCAAGGCTGCAAGTATCAACAAACATGTTGTGTACCGGTTTGCTAAATCTCATATATTTTAGTCATAAATATATTAATTATGTAAATTTTAGCCCCCTTTAAAAAAGACCAAAAGGTGGAGTGTAAGGCAAGGCATCCTTTCCTAATCCTACTCCTTACAATTGTATAGATTTGTGGCTTTGTAGGTATCCTTCGAATTTTTAATTGGTTGCAAAAAAGATTGTTTTAATTGCTTACTCAATCTGTTGGCACTAGTACTCTATATAATATTTTATTTGCAACAGTAGATTAAAATAAAAAAATGAAAAGCAAATAGCAGTTGATCTCAAATAGCTCTAATTTACAACGAAATGACAGAAGAAAAAGTCAAAAACGAATTATTTATTCATGAGCTAAATATTCAATAGTGCTAAAATGCAAATATGAAGTATAAATTTTTACCTTGCGCCACCATCTTGAGATTTTAACTAGTCACCAGGCTCTGTATTCACATCAAGACATCATTATATTACATAGTGAATGCGCAAGTAAACCAAGGAGAAAATACGCTTTATTTAATATTTTGATGTGACATCGGATAAACACTATTTCAGACATAAGAGCATAAATAAGGAACGTTAAAGATAATTTTTAGTTTTGATTTAAATCTTCTTTAATCATCAAAGAAGATTAAAGAAAAAAATGATTAAAGAATAAATACCATCCCTGAAACAGATTAAAGTGCAGCTGTGCGAATTTTGAAAACTACAGTTTCCTAAGAGTCAGAGAGAACGATCAAAATAAAAGGTTCCTTTTCTTAATTATTTTATGTTAACATATTTATAGGTCTTCTATTGTTTTAGGCTAAGATACATGATGATAGTATATTTATGATTCTTGGTAACTATATTATGCATTTCTTGGTCTGGCAAAAAATTGAATAATGCATGTGAAATGACTAATTGTGTATTTTACAGTGTTTTCAAACTATAATATACCTAAGAAACCTAACCATTAACCTTAAAAAGGAAATTGTCTACAAATAAAGTAACATTATTTATGATTATAGATGTCATGAAGTATATGTTAGTAATTGGTGCTTGTGTTATTTTATACATAGGGTCTCAATATGTTTTCATGTGACATCAAAGTGCTATGATATACTACCTATATAGTTTTACACTCGACTGTGCAGGAAATCTACTTACTATTTTAAACTATTTGGATTTTTATACAAACATCTCCAACCAGCTCCACTGAAAACACCTTATTCATGACATTTTCTCTGATTTATCAAAACATGTGTTTATAACATACACCAAGTACTCTCATCATTTTTATGTAGCTTGAATGTAAATGTAAATTTGGTATTTATCAATTTCTTTCTTTGAATATTGCAAATACTTTTTTATGTTTAGTACACTGGCTGAATGTAACTGTGTGTACTATGCATGCTCCATTTCAATGGTAGGGAATGAAAATTTATCACTCTATCTATGTTGCCTTACCAGCATTGAATTTTTTCAGAATGCAGAATATTATGCTCACCATCCATTAATTCATAGAGAACATAAGGATGGGGCATTTACATGTTTTCAAAATGCATTTGCTTTGTGTTTGTCTAATACTTCCCTTTCAGTATGTGAATAGCACAGACATATTGCAACAGCTGTGGAAAAAGCTAAGAATAATGCATACAGTTTTATGCATTCATCAATGATGTGTATGTTCTCATTGGTATGTGTTACATCCTGCATGATTACATCATACTACCCAATTGGAAATGATTCTTTACCAGACTTGGTATTCTCTTTGAACATTGCTTGTATTATCATGTTCCATGTATACTACCTCTTGCACACAGGAAGAAAGATGATGCATTAATTTTTGTAGTGTATTGTATTGTTCTTTTAATTTTCATTGCAAAAAATGACGTGCTTCATCTTTCTATTGCTACCAAGGAACAATACTATGATTATGACAATGGATGAAACTGTTTTGATTTGATTTTGGTGAGACTTGGCAAACACAAGTAGTATGTACGGACAAAATTTAAAATTGGCCAAAATTTTCGAATTTTTTTCCCGTTCAGATCATGAATAGGGTTTTCCTATCTTCCTTCATATATATACTAAAAACAGGAAATCGCTTTTCTGAGAGTTTAATTTTATAAAATTTTATAGACTATGACGAAAGATCCTAGTGATGTGGAATCATGTCAAAAAAATACACTGAAAACCTAATTCTAATCGAAGATGATTTTCGTAAAATGTGTCGTGGAAAATTTGAAAGTTTATGTAGAAAATTCTGTATGTTTGACATTTTATCCATTGTTGAAATGTATCTGTAATACAAAACTACGTGTAAACAAGTTGTAATCAACCATATTATTATATAAAGTAAACGTACATAATATCATAATCTATAAAAAAATGTAAAATGATGAAGTTTTATTTCTGTTAAGAATAAAATCTTATTGACAAATCAAATGATTTACTGAATTACATTATCTTGGACAATTGACAAATCAACCCGTAAGATTTTCTTTTGAAGTTACATAAAGTTATTGCGTGGATTCCGCAAGACAATGCTGTTGATTGCTATCTACCATGCCGCTTGTACTGCCCACCAACCAGAGATGACCGCGATTGCATTAAAATAAAATTAAAAAAATCTGTTTATGATGTGTTTCCAAAGGAGAGGCAAACCTCGACATATTTTGTAATTAAAAGAAATCTTGAAAAAATCAATCTATTGTAAATCTTGACATTCAGTTTTTCCGTTGGGACTTGTTAATCCTTTAGATTGATTTACCAATAAATTCATGCATTGTAGGAATCATAAATGTCTGGAATATGATATCGAAATAAAAATTAAGAATTATTTTGTCTAACTCAAAATGGATGACGATCTTAGAAAATGACGTCAGATATTGCACTTATGAATTATTATGTTTCCAATCATTTATGATTTATAAAACATCAAGCACAACATAGAGTACCATTTCTTCGATTGCAATGTTTATGATTGTACAATGAATGCAAATTATAAATTATTAGTGAAAACATTTCATTTTTTCGAAAAACGATCTGAGCTCAACCAATCAAATCAATCAATCAATCAAACAGAATTTGCAAATTAATCATGACTACACGTTAAAAGAATATTATAACGGTTTTTTGTTTCGCATTATTGTTACTTTTTAAAAAAAATAAAAGATGTTTTTCGTGTTTGCACTGGCTTATGCAAGTGTGTCTGGGGTAAAAACTCTTGAGCATGTGCAATCCTCAACATTCGGTTTTGGGCTTGCACTGATCTGCTCTCGAATTCTCCCAAAGGTCTCCTCGGTTTGCATAAGCCTGTGCAAACACGTGCAGTAAACATCTTTTATTTATTAATTTGTGTATGAATTACATCATTTGTAAATAACATCCTTGCTTTATTAGAGAAAATATTTACGAAATGCTAAAACGTCAATGGTTTTCACAGAATTTGTTTACAATAGAGTACATTTACACTCCTAGATCAAAACATGAGACATTTTCGTTTTCTTTAACGACTTTTTTTACCCTTTTTTTAGAAAGAACACTTGTAATTCGATCAAACCTTTGTAATCTTCGTCGTTAAGTTCTTACACCTCAACAACATAACGACATAGCGACATGATTGCAGATGGTGTTAAAACATTTAACTAAAATACATAGAATGCCACTTGTAATTCAAAACCCTAATAATATTTTTAAGCCGTGATTTTACCCCAGAAACGCGAAATTTTACCCCAGACACGTTTGTGAAGTCAATCAATTTATACTCCGAGCGAGAGTCTCGAAACACTTAATCACGCGTGTCTAGAGGTAAAATCTTGCGTGTATGGTGTAAGATTTGGGCATTTCGCTTCAATTATTAGTTTTAGGTAGCGTTCCATTAATTTTAGTACAATTTGTTATAACGACTACACTTGGTAACCTGGCAAACATGTCGCTGAGTAGTAACAACCTAGCGTCAACGACGGTGTGTTACACACATAGCTACCTAACTTCCTGGAAGTGGTATCTTTCCTATATTGAGTTAGATGGTATATGCCTGAACACAGGCTAAAAAAATAGTCAAATAAAACAAAGTGCAAAGTTTGTTTCGCCAAAATATTCTTAATGAACGTACTAAGACTAGATTAAGTTACAAGATAAAATGCATCGATTTGTGATAACTCTTTCTTCATTTTTTTTCATTCTCTCTTACATCGAGGAAGAGCACTTACAATTAGTTTGCTTCTTTATGTCAGGTTTTGTTGATGATAAAAAATTCGTACAAGTTTAAAATGGGATCTTAGAAATTTTCAAGAAAAACAATAAATAAAATGTTTTTGTAATCAAGTATTCTCTACCTGATTTTTCAAAATACCATACCCTAATATTTAAGTTACCTGAGATAAAAGCACTAAAATGTCAAATGTTTCAACTCTGTTTTAACGTAACACGAAGGGGGAAAGATATGCAATAAATAGAACTTTTATTTTGTGTAATTTACCATGAAAAACATCACAGAAAATATTTTTTTGTTTTTGTGGAATGTTCATTGTAATCAAATCACTTTGATATTTTTGCAAGAAGTCGCTGAGACAGGTATTATTTGAAAATATTGAAGCATCATTTAGCACCGGGATGTACATTTTGATAAGTCTTAACATTAAGAAACGATTTCTTCAAGTTTAATGCCTTTCTAAACCTCTATTGATTACTGATCATCAAGATTAAATAGGAAAAAAATCAAGTGAATGTAATGTATTAAAATAAGTTTCGTTTAATATTTTGAGCTGATTTTTGAAGGTCCTATCGGATTATTTCGTAACATTTGTATTGTGTCAATGTTTTCATTTCATTGCGGTTTTGTTTTGACATTTCGAGTTCTAGCCCAGATTTAGTTGTGAAATGAGATAATTAACAACTGTGGATTATGTAGCTAAATATTCTTTTGTTCGATTATATGGTGTTAAGAAATGCTTATTGAACTTCTTGCTGAAATTGCAACCAAAGGAAAACTAAAATTTATTAAAAGTGATAATTGGGGACATTTTGTAGGATATGAGTTCAAATTTCTTTTAAGTAATAGTCTAATCAAGCAGGAGACATTGTTCGTTAAGACTTATTCGCCTTACCAAAATGGGACGGGAGAAAGAGACTGGTTAAATTGATTCAATATGGCAAGATGGTTACTAGTTGAATCAAAATTACCAAATTTTAGTTCATGAAAACCTATGCAGTAATGGCATCTGCAAATATTGCAAACAGATGTAACAATAATAGGTTTGAAATAATAGGTTTGAAATAATTGCAGGTGAGGATCTAACGATATTCAAGTCTAATCTTAGCAAAATGCATGGTTCGGTTCAGTGTGTTTTTGCTTATACGTACAGAATCCCAGAAAGCTCGAGCCAAGAGGTAAAAGAGGCATTCATGTGGGATGTGATAAGAGCAGTCCAGTTTACCTAGTATATCACTCAGAAACCACGAAAATAGAGCGAGTAAGGTAGAATTTTTGATGGAGTCGATAAATTTGTGATTGACAAAAGTAAAACGGATAATGATATATGTCAATCACTTTGTACTATAAACCTGCTGCAATTCAGAGAAAGAAACTTTCAAAGAGTAGGTCACAATCTTCTTTGCTAAAACGAAAATGCAAGAGGTGTACAGGTAAGCGAGTGGGAAGAGCAGCTGATTTAAAAAGTGAAAAGATTGAAGTATTTGAAGAGAAGCTTGAAAAAGAAGAGAAGCAGGAGAAACGCAAATTACAAGTAATTAAAGAGCAACTAGCAAATAAGATGAAACTGAACAACAATGAAAAAATTAAAAATTCTGAGGAGTGTTACGTAGATATTCAAGGAATAAAGTTTTCATATGCTCAGAAGACGTGCTTCTAAATCTAAATGTATGGCTTTCAGATGACCATATTGATGCAGGACAGAAATTATTACGTGATCTTAGTGCCGGAGTGGGAGGTCTGAACACAGTTTTAGCAGTCACATACAGTAACAAACTCATAAATGTTCCTGAAATATCACCCAAGAAATTCAATGTCACAATATTGGTCACCATTTGGTGGTGCATGGATTTTCATGGGCCGTTTGTATTAGTAAGTTAATGGCAGAAGATTTTCTAAATATCTTAAACAACAACAATATTTTTCGTTGAAGTTTGAAATGGAGAGTAAAGTTAATGGGAAGTTAACTTTTCTTGTTAGAATGAAAAAAATTCAAAGAAATATGCTTATTGAAACAAAATAAAGATCTTTATTTAATAAAATGACACAGGTGTACACCATAACTGC